CTAATGTGGAGAGGCAATGCATTCCACAGTTTAGGGGCCCCCGCCGCAAACGCTCTGTCCCCCCCAAGTCTTCGCCTCGTTTGCGGAACCTCCAAGAGCAGCTGATCAGCTGATCTGAGGTGTCGCAAAGGACAATAGGGGTGCAGTAGCTCTTACACGTAAGGTGGTGCCAGTCCATTCACAGCCTTATATACAAATAAAAGAATCTTAAAATGAATTCTAAGATGCACTGGTAACCAGTGCAGAGAAGCCAATTCAGTTCGGATGGCTCTCTCTCATCAACATCTTCCCAGACCAACTTTCCACACAATGACCAACATCTCTGACCTATTAAATGAAAGGAAACAAAACCAAATGAAAGAGTTTGGAGATGTAGAGAGGTACATACAGCACAGCTGCTTGCCAGAGGCTGGAGATAAATCATGTGTATTTAAATGAAGGGGTCATGGCAATTCATGCCTCTCAGGTCCCATTGTTATCCAACCCTATCCCTCCCTGACACCCATCTATGGAGATTTCTCATTTTGGGGAATTCACTGTGGCAAGAATCATCCTCGAAAGTAGCCAACAGAGAGTGAGATTACAATATAAACTGCACAGTACTGTAATACCCCAGTTTTTTAATTGGACAGCTCTGAATAACGAAGGAGTCTGTCTTTCTTCATTTAGTGCTGATTTATTTTAACCACAAGTAAAAATTACAAACCCAACCCGGGTTGCTCCCCTTTCCAGAGGCACACACCGGCTGCTGGAAAGTGGAGCCCCTGGTCACACAGAGCCTAATACATTTATAAGTTTTGGGCTAACCCCTTACCCAGATGAAGTCAGTCCGAAGTCTCCATCTCTTATCTAGTGCTCCACATGCTTGGAGCAGCTGTGTTTCTACCTAGTCATAACAAAATGAAGACTCTCAGTGTGTGTGTATGTTGTCACATGGTGTGTAGCTAAGGCATTCATTCATTTATTCAGACATAATATTCTAACACAAGATTAATACAGGAAAGGAATTAGTGTTATGGGGCACTTTTCAGAATCAACATTCTATCTGCTAACCTTGAAACAAAACAAACTAGAGCAGACTTTAAATCTTACTAAATTGCATTACTAACACATTAATGTCTAATGATTATCTAACTGACTTACTAATATCTAACAGTACAATAGTAAATCCAGGATCAAACTGGCGCCTTATCTCACCTGTCTGATCGTGGGGTCAAGTAACTGTCAGTTACTTGACCTGTGGTCAGATCAAAGGGATGGCTTGTTGATAAGTGGTTTTACTGTAGGTCTGTTTTCTGATTACCCAGGATGCCTTGCTGGACCGGTCCCAGAACTGGAGCACTCAGCACATCCTCATCTGCTGCGTCTGTCTGGGAGACAACAGTGAGGATGCAGATGAGATCATCCAGTGTGATAACTGTGGGGTGACTGTGCATGAAGGTATAGTAAGCTGCAAAGTTATTCCAATCTATCAATGTGTGGACATATGTAGAAAAAATATTTATGCTTAAAATCAGTCAGGAAAAAGTCCATGTACAGTATTTGTCACAATTACTTCATAAAAATTATGCTCTTCAGCAACAGCTGTTAAGATCCCAAGTCTCAAAAATGAACAGATCGGGATAAGTGAGTCCTTTTGTGAGAGATTAGCAAACAAGCAGACAATGTGGAAAATTATTGCGGTAGCGCATTTTATGACCGATGTTTATATGCTCACGTTTTCTTGTTTGGGACACGTACTTTGATGATGATGTTTGGTGCAGAGTGCAAAACTTTAGTTTATGAAATGGTCAGATAAAGTGATGAGTGAACTACACAGAACTAACAGTGGTTGAAAACCCTTGGACTACAATATACACATTTTCTATTAAATATAAGAACACTGTGTCACCCTGCGTCAACACACCCATAGCGATGGGCGAGAAGTGGTGGAGATGATGGTGCATGATTTATTCTCTTTGACTGTGTCTTCACCATAAGGAGAGAGCACTCTGGGGAAATATCCTGGGCTGATTTATCGCAAAACCTTAGTGAGGTGCAGTTGAAAACACACTTTCACACATATTGTGGAGATAATCCAGACATTACAGGCGTGTGGACCACAGGAACCATAGCTCTAATGTGTCCTTGGGTGCTAAGAAATTGTATATTTTATTGTTATTATTATCAGTTATTGTTATTAGAAGCTATTAACTCTTCATATTTAAAATGCTTAAAAATCTGTATGTGTTATAAGTGGTGCAGATGAACTGTCTTCAAAGTGACTAATCATTTAACTGAGTAATTGCTTCTGCTCTGTTGTAAATATAGATCTGTAGATGGGTGACTAAAATGGAAAATTCTGCATAAAGTGGCTAATAAGATGCTGTTTCCCCACAAACCTCTAGAACAGCTTTTGTTCTCCTTGTCATAGATTATCTACCTAAAACTCTATTTAAGGGATGATGACAATGAAATTCATTTGGTGTTTTTGTAATGGTGACTGAGAGCCCTGTCTTACATATGCTTCCAGTTGGGTTGGGATCTGATGACATAAACCCCAGGCACAATTCACCTTCTATTTTATTCATCTTCATCATTTTCATCCTCGTCAAACCATTCAGTGACCAAGCATCTGCATTCATTACATTACATTTCTTCACTCATTTATTCATCTATTTTTGTTATGTCTTCTGATTGTATTATTTGCAGCCAAGTTGAAAATGTGAGCTGTCATTGTGCTTTCGGAATAACGGATAGCTGGTTTGCTCTTGTGAGGTTCTCATCACCTTTTCCTTTCATCCCATGGACAAACAACCCCCCTACATCACTTTTATTCTTTTGTCTTGATGTGCACATCACTTTATATTATTACTTCTGGATGCATCCATGTGTAGTTTGTGAGCTTTTGTTAAAGATAAACAGTTTTTTTCTGTTAAATGTCAATATAGTTAAAAGTACTTCAGCTGACTAACTCACCTTCTTTTTACCTGCTAAGCTCTGATGAGGATAATCTTTCCTTCAGGGATTATGGAGCTATCCGGTAGTCATCACTTTTTTGTTATCTTACCTCATATTAGCCAGCAACCCATGGCTTAACGGTCTGAGCTTTGTATCTTAGTTCAAAAGGAACACAGAAGATTTGTGCCACAGTTCAGCTGTAAGTCAGTTAAGACATCATAGTGGTCATTAACAACCCTCAGTTCCGTGGTTCAAAGCTCAGTCAGTGAAGATGAAGCATCCAACTGGTGACAGAGGTATTCCAGTAATACCCTTCTTTAAGAAAATAAAAGTTGGGTGGACCTACAGTATATGAAAGATAATTTCCTGTCCTTGCCATGTGCAATTTAGGAAGGTTGAGGTTAGAAGTAGGTAGCAGTTATCACCACATCTTGGGCAGTAGATTCTAAGTACATCTTCTGTTTTGAAGGTCAGGGTGGAATCCAACTGGGCCTTCATTGCCCTAGTGGAGTAACTAGCTTGTTTATGTTGCCTTGGAGTTGATTCAAGAAGTAACCAAATGTTGGTATAACTGATATATGCTTCTCCTAGTCTCTGAAGAGAGGAGTTCAAAATTAGTGATTCACCGTGACACACAGCAAAAGGTCTCTCAATCAGAAATGACATGCACCCACCAAACAAAGTGTAGAGCTGAATAAACAACTCTGCCTACTCCTGTGTTTGCTTTTGATAGGCTGCCCGCCTCCCCGATGTGGCTCACAGTGACGGGCATGCATAACATTGAGCTTTTGATTTGTGAGTCTTTCCCACTGCTCAAAAAGCCTGAAGGCTGGTTGACTGAATTAGAAGTTAGAGTGTTATCTCCCCAAAGGAGGCAGAGTACTGATTGCTGCCCTCATTGGTAGTGAAGAGCACGTTTTCCTGTTGTAATAGCTACCATAGAAACCACATCAGCCAAGTAATTGTTTAGGCAACCTCAGAAAATTAAGAGGACAATATTAAAATGCTTTTGCTTAGCTTGTTCTTGTTTCTCTCGGGCTACTTTTTTTTTTTTTAATCAAATGCTCGATTTATGGTGCTGCAGTTTCACAAAAGATTGACAGAGTGAGAGATCCCAAAGTTACAACAGGCAACCACATTGGTAACAACAGATATTATTATAGAGTACAGTAAACTATAGTGACACTGTTATTTGAATCAATTGAATATGTGTTACAAAACAGTGTTGTCCGGTGTGGTCCTTAAATTTTTGAAGCTGTCCAAAAAAAGCTCTCATGACATCAGTGTCTGGTAGCAATGAAGAGCAAAGCAGGCCAACAAAGTAAGAGGCCAGTCCATGTAGTGTCTTTGCATCTCCTTTGATAACTCATCCGTTATGTTACGATAATTCTACTACATGCTAGTAATAAAAACAAACTTTGTTTACTTGTCTTTTGTAAGCTGTTCTAAGTGACAAGGCTAGATTTATACTTGTGCATTACGGAGTTGCTCTGTGTGTAAGCTCCAAATCAGAGCTCATCTCCCAGTTATAATCTCACGTACCAGCTGTCTGTGCCTATCATTTGGATATGTATGGGATGTTCTAGCCACGTGGAATTTTTCAGAGGGAAATTAGATTAATGAACTTGGTATCACTCAATAAACTCAAGGCTATTGTAAATTAATTGGTGAATGATTATTTTTCTACTTGTTTTTGTTCTTAGCACAGGTTGGCTTTTTTGAAACTGATAACTGTTTTTGTAGCTTCTTTTGTCTTAGCTTATTCAAGATGTAGTCATTGTTGTCTGGTTTTCTAATGTGTGATTTTGGGTGAGTTGTATGAAAATTGTAATACTGCTGTGCTATTCTGTAGTTGATGTGGGGACTGAGAGAAATGTGACTGGCTGATTGGGCTGCTTGTTTTATCTTATTAATTTTTGAAAGTGGTGGTAGTAACACACATCCACCAAAGCAATTTTCCACTGGAAACCTTCCACTCTGACCACAGCTCACTGCTGCAGTAAATGAAACACTGCAGCCATTGCATGGAATAGTCTCTCATGAGCAGTAATGAAATAAAGTGGACCAATCAGCCACAATAATAAACAATTCTTTTGCATGTATTTAGGTTGACATTTATTGGACTTCCACATCTTTTCAAAAATACAGAGGTTGCTAACCTCTGGTAGAGAAAATTTAAAACATAACCCAGCCTGTATATATACTTTGTGTAAATTTCAGTTGATATTTGTTGTATGAATCTAATTAGTTAAATTAGAAACTATAACTACAGTGTATCATACACTGTAGACCATAATCTTGTTGCGCTGCCAGGTGTACGCATAGCAAAGCAAAAACAGATTTTTTCTTTAGATCCAGCTTTTAATTCCTTGATATGAAGTCATGTGTTACACATCTTTCGTTCACTCATTTGGTTTTTATTTTTCATTTGCTTTTAATTTCAAACCTTTGCATATCACACCGCCTCCATATTTTGTATACTTTTTTCATCATTATTGTGCCTCACTGGAGACTAGAAGGTATTAACAGTAATTGACCTGTATATCTTCTGCTTCTTGGAGGGTAGTGACAAACTGTGATGTTCACAGCCCTTCATGAGAGGCAGTGACATGGAAAATAGGATGACTTATCTTTAATGAACAATGTCTTTGATATTGCCATACTAGCAGTCAATTTTGGTGTTTCCAGGGTGTTATGGTGTGGATGGTGAAAGCGACTCAATCATGAGCTCGGCCTCGGAGAATTCAACAGAACCTTGGTTTTGTGATGCCTGCAAGAATGGAGTGACTCCCAGCTGTGAGCTCTGCCCCAACCAGGATGGCATCTTCAAAGAGACAGATGCTGGGAGGTGGGATACAGCGCCACGCTGAACTGGTGGTCACTTACCATTTATGAGAGGCAGTAAATGGAACATGTTCAGAAACAAATATTCCCTAATGATCTTAGCTGGTCAAAATGCTGCAGGCAGCCACAGGCTATCTAAATTGTACGTATATTCAGTGCTGAGAAGAAAAGGAGGTTGGATTAAGAAGGAGGGAGAGGGAGAGAACTGGGAAAGGAATGAGCGAGAGCAGGATGGAGGGAGTAGAAGAGATAGAGGCAGAAAATGACTGAGAGAAAAGAGTGTGCTATGTGAAGCATGGAGACTTCAGCCACGTTATCGCTGATAGTGCTCCTCAGCCAGGCTGCACCCGAATTTACTACTTCACTAGAGCATGAAAAACACAGCAAATTAAACTGTGAAGCCGTTGCTTGCTAGAGATGGATATCTTTATATTGGACTTCTGATTCTCTTCCCTAAAGTCCACATGTGAAACTGTGTCACACCAAACTGTTGCAAGTGTCTGGGGTTACATAAATCTATGAATACATTTCTTTTTGAAGTGCCTGAGACACTCACTGCGCCCAATTTTATGATATTACGTTGCTTTATGTCTGCAGGAATTCATTACACTAAATGCAAAAAATAACCACTGCCATAGAAGTCAACATGTTGAAATCGATAAAACAATCAGTGAAATCAATTTTTCATCTTGAAACACTTTCAGGGAATGATGCTCATACTAATGTGTTATAGTTGTGCTGTTTTTCTTCAACAAACCAATATATCAGCTAATTTGATTTTGTTCCTCCTTGTTTTCAGATGGGTGCATGTGGTTTGTGCACTTTACGTTCCTGGAGTAGCATTCGGAGACATTGATAAACTACGACCAGTGACACTCACAGAGATGAATTATTCAAAATATGGGGCCAAGGCAAGCACTTTTTTCACATACTGATGGTAGGACTGTATCATCCAGATGATTTAGGTCTTACAGATATGTTTGACTTGCTACATAAGCCAGCTTTAGATGTTCTTTTTCATTAGTGTATGGGTGTATAATGTATACAAGTATATCACTTCATCTCCTTATTACTGATCTGTGTTTTGTCATC